AGATGACCAAACTTTTTTTTTTAAATCTACTTTAAGATTCCTTTTCTTATGTTACTTCTTTTTTGTTTTTGTTTTGTTTTTTTTTTTTGTAATCTGCTTTAGAGTCTTATAAGTAAGGAAATCCTGCATGCTTGCCTTGAGGTTGTTTATCTTGTATATGAAGATCATATTTTCTTTTTGAGTAGTTCTTTAAAGACAGATTTGAAAAGTAGCCCAGGTTCAATAGAGCAATCCAGAGAATCCTCAAGTGTTTGGAAGTCTGCAGCCAGCAAGATGTTCACAAATAAAGGTGGTTAAGTACCTGAAATTTTGCTACTGGAAGTGGTTCCAACTATGATAATTGTGTGACTTGCATTGCAGTTAAACTCTCTTGGATTTCATAGATGTCCGTCTGTCTGTTCACCTGAGGGGACTGGCAAGGATGTGCGGTCAAAGTATATTTCCATTTTGAAGTTCAGCATGTAACAGCTCAGTCATAGCTACTTTAATCAAAAACATGATTATAAAAAGAAAAAGACATGAGTATGGTGGTGTCCACCTTTTATCAACTAACCTGTTGTTTGGAGCACATCCAAGATGAGAATTAAGAGAGACTGAACCAACCATCTCTACTCAAAAGGGTGATATAAGAGCTTGTGTTTAGAAAGCAACTTAAGTTTGCAATATTCAGTTTCACACAGATGCTTTCAGGGCATAAGGTAAACACCAAAGTCCAAAGAGGGGCAGTAGTAAAGTGAACCCCACTCTGTAGCATTTCCTACCGTCAGATTTAGGCTCTCTTTTCGCATCTGCACATCTGTAAATGTGATCCTTGGACAAATTCAGGAAACCTTTGAAGTTGTGGTGTAAAATATTTTTATACAGTGGTTGTATCAGGGTATTGCCAGTTTGGAAAACATTCCTCTAGAATAGATTTGTCTTTGCTTTTTATTTAATATGATTCAGCTAGAAACCATTTCTAGACAAATAAGCAGAAAGCCTACAGAAAATATGTTAATGAAGCAGGGATAATTTTACATGGCTACGGTAATAAAGGGATTTTTTTGTTTGACTTTAAGGATTGACTAACAGTCATTAGATGATAATTCTGTAATGAAATTTAAGCTTAGTAATTTTATGAAGCATGTTCTGTGTCAATGATAATGTTGGCATTGCTGGCATAGATCGTTGGACTTGTGTAATTAAACCTTTTGATTTCTGTTTCTAATCTACTTTTTTAGTTACTGAACCATAGACATTTCTCCCTGACCTGAAATTTTGATCTAAGATTATCTTAAATTAATAATTCTAAAGTTTTAGGAAGAAGAAAAGTAAAGTATTAGAGATGCATTTCATGTAAACATATATCAAAATATGTCAATTCTAAGAAAAGTAATCGGTGATGTAGCATTTTACAAGAAAAATAATCGTGGTGTTAAAACACAGTAGCTGCTTCCTAGGCAGGAGGAGAACTTGAGATTTGTTCACTAATGGCTCTTTGTATCTTGGCTTGATGTGTGGGCAGATCAGAAGTTTATATAAGTAGAGGATAATAACAGGTAGTTGCTGAATTCTCATTTTGCTTGGTAGGTCTTTGCTCTTGAGTTTCCCTTCTTCCTAATTCAGAAGCACTGACAACAGGGTGAGACTGCTTGCTTGCTCAAGGGGCTACCATCAGCTTTGGGGCAGTTGTCATCTAACTGAGGTTGGATAATGAGCAGCTATTGATACAGACTTGCTATATAGGTGTTTCTAAAGAGACTGAGATACCATCCTAGCTCATGGCTTTTGCTCGTTTCTTGCACTTTCTTGTTTGTTCTTGTATTTATTTTTTTTTTTTTTTCTATGCAATAACTCATTCTTAAATGGCATTATTCATTGATGGTCAGGGAAAGCTGAGAGAAGAGCAGGAAAAATCTTGTGCTTTCCCAAGTAATGAAGAATCACCTTTGTTATTAGGCAAGCCTTTGTTCTTCACCATTCATTAACTCTTGATTATCTGTTACTTGGTTGTGATGAGGAAAACCGGCTCACTAAAAATGACCCACCTTCTCTGTGCTCCAAATAATATTTGTGTTAGAGATAGTAGTATGTTTTTGCTCTACTCCTGATAAGAGGGCAGAGCACTGATAAGGCTGTGGAAGCCTCTAACTCATGCACAAATCTACTGCTGCATAATTGTATATTACTGTCAGTAAAAACAAAACAACACCCAACTTGTGTTTTGGATCACAGGTTAGATTTGCATAACTGCTAAGAAAACCCAGGATAGCTTTTGCACCAGTGAAATAAATATGATAAAAAATAAATGAAAGTATGAAATCTTTTTATTCACTTGAGACTGTAATCTGATTTTATTTGAAGTAAATGCTATGTAATTGATTTCTAGTGGAGAAATCTAATTGATTTCCTATTTCCTGCTACCTGATCTGTTTTTAATACCTTGCTTAATATTTCCATATGAAGCTATTAATCAAAATGCCTCCTGTTCTGTTCAGAGATGCTTTGTTTCAGAGTGAGATATGGTGATGATGAGTTGCAGAGGACTGAAAGTAAATGCGGGAACTGAGATCAAAAGGCTACCAGGTGGATAGGTATAAAGAGGTGGGCTGATTCAGCTGAGTAGGAAAAGTGTGTATCTTTATTCCTGGTTAGTATTAGTGTTGGCTTTGGACCTGCCTCAGGTCAATTCCCATTTGTCCTCCAGCAGAGCTTTCCTTTGTCCCTTTATTCCTCCCTAAAATGCTTATTAGCAACCAGTTAGTGTGTTCATCGAAGCAGTTTTTTCTGGTCCTGTGCCCATGCTTCATAACAGGAGATTTATCTTAGTAATTGTTCCAAGGGTGTCTGTCAGCTGAAATGTTGTGTATGTTACAGTGTAATACTTAATACTGTTAATGTTTTTAAATGTATGAAGAACAGAGTTTGACTGTAGACATTTCTGACTGTGCTTTGGAGGATTGAGAGGTGTTACTTTTTGCTTTTTTATTAACATACTCTATATAGTGATGTGAATTAAGTCATTCTTTATTAGTGGCTGTAGTGTGTTGTATTTGGTTTTGAACTTTTCATATGAAGATAACTAGGATAGCTGGAGGAAAATATGTACCATAGGAGTAGAAGAAATGTACAAGTTCTGCATATATTACAGTTTGTATACAATGGAAAATTGCCTACAGACTGGCAATTGGTTGGGGTTTTTTTGTGTATGTCATTCATTCAAGGAAATGGGAGGAAAAATCTCTTGAGTTTGGTTTAGATACAGATTAGTCCTTTGAAAATCAGTTTGTGTCAAAAGCAAGGAGGAGGAAAGTGTGCTTGCTTGCTGTCTTATCCTTGTGGAAATCACAGAATCACAGAATGTTGGGGATTGGAAGGGACCTCGAAAGATCATTTAGTCCAATCCCCCTGCCTGAATCATGGAGCAAAATTTAAAAGTTCACTTAGGATTGTGAGAGAAGAAATCAAGGGCTTGGTGGTTTAAAAATTTAAAAAAGAAGAAGGAAGAAAAGACAGTAGACTACTGGGAACTACTTGGAAAAATCAGACCTTAGAATATATAGCAAAAGGATCCTGATGGTCCTGAAATCCAAAGCCTGAGTAGTTCTAAATGCTTCATGCTTGCAGTGTAGCAGCTAACGACTCTAAGTCTCTAGTAATAGTGTCAGAAATTTCTTATGATTGTATATCAGCAGAATCTACTCTGGAAAATCTCAAGTCTCTAATGTCAAGTTATCAATACATAAAGTACAGAAATTAAAAATCACATTTTTCCATGAAAATTTCCTGCATATCAATCTGTTTATGGTCCATATACTTGCATATCATAATTGCTCTGAAAGAAATATTAGCTAGCTGGCTTCTCTTTTTCCATGTTATGTAGCTGAACAATAGCTAGTAAGATCTTGTCATTTGTTTAAAAGTCTAGGAACTGTTTAAGAAAACAACTAGAAAAGCTAAATCCAATGTGATTAGACTTCAGTTTTTCATATTAGTCCCCAATTCAAGTAAAGTAAGTCTTCTCTGTCTAAGTCAGTGGTACATACCTAAGTAGATACTTACCTTCTAGTTTTCTAGACTAATGATCTTTATTCTGAAAGTGAGTAAATGCCAGTTAATGTGGTTATAGCAATCCTTAATATTCCAAAATACAAAAACCTCCACTCCAAACACTTTTATATGTCCTTTTTTTTGGTGCCGTTGAAAACACACTGTGGTCCAGAACTTTCTACTGTGTTACCAGAAGAGGTTTTTATGCTGTTCTTGTATTTTGAAATTAGCTGTTGTTACTACATGTATCCTTATATTTTAGTATGTATCTCTCAGTATTCTACTTGGAAATTAATTGCAACACAATCATTCTCAATTTATCTTTTAAGAATAATGCTAATAAGCAGAGTATTGCTTCACAGAATGAAGAATGAATAACACGTTGTAGGAAATCTTTAATTTTTGATTCAGACCTTCCAAACCACTGTTTTAATACTGAGGCACCAAAATTTGTAGCTTTCATGGACTTTCTCAAAAATGCATATAGGATTTCCAATTTTTTATCAAAATGATGTTTATTTAAATGTGTCTCTCTTTTCATCTGCGTGTATCTTTGCTGCTGTTTTAACACCAGAGGCAATGAGTCTTTTCTTTTAAAAACCTGGGCCAAATCAGGGAATTATCCCTGTGGAGATGGAGTACATCAGCCTGTATTTACGTCATGTTCTAAATTCAGTCCTAAAGAAGGGTGTGTTGGAAAATAATAGGATTGTGGGTACCTATTAATCTCTTCTCCCGGATGGAAAAAAGATAGTGTGCAAATTATTATCGTGAGCCCTGGAGGGGAAGGTGAATGAGTGGGCAAAACCATGAACGCTCAAAAGTGAAGGAGACAGTTACTGGGAGTGGAGTTGACAATTAGTCCAGTGTATATCTGGTCTAGTATATATAGATTCTGCTAGCTATTATTGGGTTTCTGGTATGCCAGATTTCTGTGTGATACTGGCCAGATAAATATTTTACATGTGTTTCTTGGTGTAATGTTAAAGCAAATGATCATTGTATAGATTAGTGTTCCATACTAACAAATATAACTCTATCCTAAAAAAATTATTGAAATAATATTTATCATCAAACAATAGGATTCTTCTACTTGACAAGAAGAAGTTTTTGCTTTACAAGTCTGTAGCAATGAATCACTGCCAGACCAGATATATGGGCAACTATGTTTTGTCTGTTAGAAGTGCTGTAGTTATTCTTGAAAAATCACTAGGAGAATAGTTGAGGCTGTATTTAAGTTTTTGCAGCAGCTGAGTTTGCTGGAGAATGAGCACAGCTAAACACAAATGCCAAAAATCAATCTGATCATGATTTAGAAAACAATTAGGATTCACACTTAATTAAAAAAAGAAAAATAACTTTTTTATACAAAAGCTGCCTTCAATGTAGTGTGAAAAGTTAACATAGGCATTCAGTTTGGATTTCTGCACAGGCTGAAGTGCAAAGTTATTCTCATAAAATCTCTGCCTGGCTCTTTGAAGCTTTCCTAGTGTTCTTCCAAAGCTGTTTGGATATGTAAGCTGCTGACATAACAAATTATCAAGAATCAATCCACTGAGAAAACAGCTTTAATATTGAGCTCAAAGGACTTTATCAAAATCCAGCTTTTCATACCTATTAACCAGGCTTTGAGTGGGGAAGGGCTATCTGTGCTTCCCAGTGTTTGTTGGCAGAATTTTTGGGAAATGAACAAAATCCCCTCTACTTAGCCCTGTTTTAATTAAATTTGTCCAAAATTACCAATCAGCAACCAGATAAGTATGATCAGTTTTTAGCATGCTTTATTAATGTTCTTTTTAAAAAAGTAGTGTTTTAGGAATGACAGATTCTTACACTCTTATATGTAAGTGAAAAAACTATTAACTATTTTGATGCTAGTTTATTAAAATTAGTAAATGAGGCAGTGATGTTTTGTTCATATTGAGTAAATACCTTAATATACTCTTGGAGTAGCTACATTTGTATACTGTTACATTGCAGTGTAGCAAATTGGAACAAATAATTTAAATGTTATATATATTATTGTATGCATAAATGTTCAGAAGCTTCAGAGAGGCAAATTGCTCTTTTGACACCTAGAAATAGCAAAGTTACTAATTTAAAGCATATGGAGGGTGTTACATTAGTAATTACACTGTTGAGGAACCTCCTTTCTGCCACCACCTTGTCAAAAATTTAAATGTTTGTTTACTTTTTGAAGTCTTCAGCCAGGTTTTCTGCAGTTATCCCAGTGAACAGTCAATAAACAGTTTAAGAAAGAAAAAGGTTGGTGGTTTGTTGTTTTGGTTTTTTTTTTTAAAAAAAAAAAAAAAAACAAACCTAGAAAACGAATGGGTTTTGGAGCAACGTCTTAAGTTACAACAAAGCTTACTATCGAGGTGGAAGTTTTTCTTTTTCAAAATTTTTCTAATAATGTGCAAAAGAAATGTATGTTCTTTGACCAAATCTCACTTGTGGGGTGGTATTTTTTGTTGGAGGATTATTTTCTCATATAGCTAATATTTGTTACAGTCAGGTTTAGGATAATAACCTGTATTTGCTGAATTCTGCTGGAATACGTGAAATATTAGACTATTTGTTTAGAACTACTTTGAATTCTTTATTTGTAAAAATTGAAAAATAACAAAGTAATTCCAACTGGAAGGTTCCTCAGGTGATATGTAGCCCAGCTTCCTGCTCAAAGCAGGATCACCTATGAGATTAGACCAGTTTACTCAGGGCTTTATCCATTTGGGCCTTGAAAAACTTCCCAGGATGGAGACTGCACAACCTCTACTTTAGAAACTGAAGTTTCTAAAGACGGGAAATATTTGCCATATTGAATAGCTTTTAATCTCAAAACCCATCTCAGAAACATAGTATTTTTATCAATTATTTAGTATATCAAATTAGCGTAGTGGTCTAAACAGATTGGAACTATCCTGAAGTAGTGGAAGACAAAACCCTTGAGGTAATTTGAAGGAGAAAACTCCTAAGTTTAGGATTGATTGTCTTTCCTTCAGTGTCTGCAGGTAGATGGAGCTAGACTCGAAGTAGAAGGCTCCTTCCATATATTCTTATCCCCTGCGAGAATATGTGCATGATCTGATGGGTTCTCAAAATAATCTCCTTTTTTTTCTTTTCTTTCTTGCTATATATTGCCAATATGTCTGTTACCATACAGCGATTTTTTTTTTTTTTTTTTTTTTCCACAGGAATCATTCCAGGCTTAGCATATTATGAATCAAAGCAACCTGTGCTGCCAAATTTTGGTTTAGGTTTATATGAATAAGGCTTAACCAGGAGCCTCTGGAATGCAGAAATGAAGGGAAGTCTTCTGACTAGCAGTGGACCTGTGTTTTCTGTTGTTTCCTGAAGTAGTTGTTGAAGTATATTTGTCTCCTGGGTGAATACCTCAGGATTTTAAGCATACTAAGATTTGAACCTGATTACCCATGGAAAGAGTATGGTTGATCCGACACTTGCTGAGTATATTTGCACAGTAAATCTAGGCACTGAACTTTTACAGCACAAACACACCTCTGGGACTGGAAAGATTGCAAGAGAGTGATAATACTAAGTGCTTTGCAGTATGATATCCTGCTACTATATTCACTAAAAATCTCAAAAATACAATACAAATTTTACAATTAAATTGTAAAAATACAATTTCCTATTGTAAATAGACAAGGTGGTACAGATTGTGCTCTTACAGGATTATGAATGATTTAAACGCTTATCAGTAGAAGGGTCATTTTCTTTGAATCACAGAAGGGTCTGCTGAGTATCTCTGAACGTACTTAACTTCTCAAGTACTTAAAGAAAAATATGATCGTTATGTAGAAGTGTGCCTAATTTTTTTTTTTTTTTTATTGTTGCAGGTTATTTTAGTATCTGCTAACAAGCTGACTCGGTATATAGAACCATGCCAACTAACAGAAGATTTTGGAGGAACTCTCACCTATGATCACATGGATTGGTTGAACAAGAGACTGGTTAGTTTTCTGGGGTTTTTGTTTGGTTGTTTTTTGGGTTGTTTTTTTTTCCAGGTGTCTCATTCATGAGCCGTGAGTTTTTATTTTTGTAGGAAGTGCTAAATGTGTAGAAATTGTCATATGGGAAGCAGTGCAGTTCAAATGCATGAATAGTCTTATGATAACTAACACTGGATTTGTTCAAGGGATGATAAAGCTAATGTAATCAATTTGTTGAACCAACAAGTTCCTTAATGAAGCACTGTTATAGACCCTCACTGTAGAAGAGCCTGAGTGTATGGTATTGTCACTAGAAAGGGAAAGTGTTTGACTGCTGATAGGGGAAATCCAAAACAAGGAGGAAATACTTGGACTCTGCAGATCCTCTGAGGTTTTCTCTTAGGCCTTGGTTCCTGTGAACCAAGAGCCAGGTTTTAAGCTGTCCTACACTAAAACCTCTGTCAGTGCAGTTTCCCCAATAGATACAGAGGTGTAGTAAACATTTAGGAGCAAATACACCCCTAAATCATTAATAGACCCAAATTGTTTAAGCAGCTGTTGGCGTGCATAGTGCTGCAGAATGTTTTTAATCTGTCCTTAATTTATAGTTGGTTTTCATTTACTTAAATTGAATTTTCAAAACAATATTTAATCTTCAGTGAAACAGTGTGTCCTTTTCGCATGTAATCTATTCTTAAAATGTGTATTTCCATCTAGGATCTCCAGGTGGGATCCTGGACAAGGAATACTCCACAGCATGTACCAACTGCAGCTTGCTCAAAGCCTTCAAATATAACCTGCAGCCAATCTCACAGCAGTACTTCCCCCTCGATAAATCTGAGGGCTTATATCATGTGTACCGTGTTTCTGTTTTGCTGAATCTTGGCAAATTGTGTTTTGAGACCCAAGGACAGAGAGAGCATCATCTGCAGTGCATCTTTTTAATACTGGTCTTTGTATGGCCTTTATGTGTGCTTGGATTAGGGCAAGACAGCTTATTTCTTCTCTGCCTGAAACTGAGAGTGCCTGGGCACAGGGGAGGGAAAGGAAATCTAGTATTTTCATTGTCCTTCTTTTTTTTTCTTTTTTTTTTTTTTCTCATATTTATAAATCTGGCTTTTACTTACTTATTCTTGCATTCATAAAATTCATAAGGACAGTACTTGCAGTCTAGCTGGGACTTTTGCTTTATATTTGATCCAGACTGCAACTGGAAACTTCTTTCTCCTGTCTCTCCTCTCTTGCCTTGTTTCCCTTGTTTTGTATGTTAATGAAGAACCTCCTCCATTGCAGCTCCTAAATTCTGAAATTTGGTTCTCTGAACAAAACTTTGTATTTTCTATACTTTATACCCTACCGTCTGAATGTTGGGAAATAATTACACTGTGTAAAGATTGAATTATACTAACAGAACAAGTGGATACATATGCACTAATGCCTTCAATACTGCCAATTATATATTTTTTGTTTCTTAAATTAAAACCTGCCTCTTATTTAGGTATTTGAAAAGTTCACGAAAGAGTCAACATCCTTACTGGATGAGCTTGCTCTAATTAACAATGGAAGTGATAAGGGAACTCAACAAGAAAAAGAGAGGTGTGTGGTTCAATTTTTGAAATCAATGCTTTTGGATAATAAAATTTCATTGGAAATCTAAGCAATAGTGAAAATCTGATATGCCTTAAATATTTCAGAATTTGTAAAGAAATTCTGAAAGTTTATAATGTAGACTACAAAATTCACCAGTGTGTGTGTAGATGAATGCTCATTTGGCTATTGACTACATGCAGCTGCACTTACGTTTTGAGTCAATGAGTTGAAAAAGTGAGGAAAATGAGTGAGGAAAGAAACAGTCTTTTAACAGCATTGGGTAGCTCTGGCCTTAGTTGGAGTTTTCAGTGCTACTGTAATATAAATTTTAATAATGTGTTTAACTTTAGGTAATTATTATAAAATTTATTATTATTAATAATGTGTTTGTTCCTTTATTCAAGATCAATAGATTTGAACTTCCTTCCATCAGTTGATCCTGAGACGGTATTGCAGACAGGTATAGTAAGTCAAAAAATGATAATGTTGGTCAATAAAGTAATATTATTAACTTTTAAGCCCCAAGTGAAAGCATAGAGGGCACAAAAAATATTTTAACCATCATCACAATGTAAAAAGCTTATTAATTAATGTCATCTATATTGGGTTTTAAAAAAAGTGATGTTAACAAATAAATGGAAGAACTCCAGTTATGTCTTAAAGTTTTTAATAATCCTGATAACATCTTTACATCAGAGTCCGAGTGATCAGAATCCTTATCTTATAGCCTCTTACCAGCTAATGTGTGGATCACATGTAATAATTGCCACAGAGAACTGCTGGCTCTATGTGCCCTCTGTGTAAAGTGTTAGCTTGTTTAGATGTGGGATAATACTGCTTGAGTTGAAAGGTGAGACAATAGTTCCCTTGATGTGGTCTTTAAAGTTTTTAAAATATGAAGTCTGTAAACACTGTCACTAGATTTTAGTCTAATTGTAGTGGTTAGGATGTTTCTGTTTTCTTAATTATGGCACAGTGAAATTTTTTTTGAGCTATGAAGTTTAATAACTTCCATTAAATCATGGGAGTTCCTGAGAGGCATCCCTCCCCTTTATTAGCTTCACTGTACTGAAAGTTTGAGAATAAAATTTAAACTCTTCCCGATTAAATTTTCCTATCTCTTAAAGGTAAATGTGAACAAACTGAGTTTTTTAGATAAAAGGCTTCTGCCTTCCATAGTTGCAAATACTGTTGCTTTCACAAGCTCCACATAGAAAGTATAGTTCTTAGAATTTGATAAGAATCTAGTTTAAAAAAAGTTCTTTACCTTGACAATGTTAATTCTTTATTGCCGAAACAATACAATAAAAATACAAAATTATCCCAGCGGAACTATGACTTGTAAAAGCCTTTAAGTCTGTTTGCCCTGCAGCTCTCTGTGCTTATCTGTGTAGTATTATAAAAGATGAAATCCGAGATGTTTATTTCCATAGTATGGCAAAATGTGCTTGAATTCTTAAGACGTGTTCATTTCACAGTAATATGTGCGGAGTAATTTAAAGTTGCTTGCTGCAATCTCCAATCCCTTGGCATTTTGATTGTCTAGATAATACCAGTTGAATTTAGTGTCTATTTTTCTGCATTTTCCTTGAGGTATTACCATTTCTATTCTAGTGGTTTTGTTTTTTTGTTTTTTTTCTTTTAGTGAACTGACATGTTACCATTTTAAGACTGCAGAACTGATGATGTGGAATTGGCAGATTTTCACTTTTACATCAACATTTCTTTAGTGACCAAATACTGTTTTATTTGCTAGCTTGTTAATTGAGCTTTTGGAGAACAAATTGATGATCTGGGTTTACTGGTAGTGTGGTGTTTGCATCCTGAAAACTTTACCACAACTTAACAATAACATTATTCAAACAGTTTAAACAGAGGATTAAATAGTCAAAGCATACTATTTTTAAATATACAAAAGTCTTTACATTCTAGAGAGTCTGTACCCTGATATGGTGCTTAAGAGCACAAAGAAAAAGGTGAGAAAATGAAAAAAAAAAAAAAAATTTTGCTCAAAATACTTAGGATTCAGTTCCACACTTTCTATGGAAGTCTTGTGTATGTTATTAAAATCCTGGAAGATAACAAACAAATTGTATGATCCATTTGCAAGTGCTTCTAGATCATTCATTTATTCTAATAATATGAATTGTTTGAGAGAAATACTTTGGATGCTACACAGTATTTTGAAGTAAACCAGAATACTTATAGTTGCTTCAGACTCAAGATTGTGTTTTGTAATTGTTTCTTTACATTAATCAATACTATTGCCAACATGAATGTTAAAGACATGGTATCTCTTTTGTATGTCTAAAATATACCCCATGATTTCTACCCTATTTTTTGAGTGCTGCAACCTCACAAACTGTGGCCAGTGCTCTTCATGAAATGGTATCATTAAATATGCCCAGTGTGTGAAAGATCATTAGCTGCAAAAGTGTATCACTGGATCGTCAAAAAGCAGTTATGCTTACTAATAATTTTTGTGCTTGTTTTTTTAATCTAAATTAACCACATCATTATATGTATTCTTAAAGGTCATGAGTTACTATCTGAGTTACAACAGCGTCGATTCAATGGTTCAGATGGAGGGGTATCCTGGTCTCCAATGGATGATGAACTACTTGCTCAGCCACAGGTCATGAAGCTACTAGACTCACTCAGAGAGCAATATACTCGCTACCAGGAAGTTTGCAGACAACGTAGCAAGCGCACACAGCTGGAGGAGATTCAGCAGAAGGTAATGCAGGTAAGCTTGGACTTGTTCTTGAATACTGTGAGGCAGAGGTTTGAGCTCAAGTCCCAGCACACAACTCCCAGAGAGTTTGTTTTTCTTGCAAAACTTAGAGTTGAGAGCTTCATGCTTCCTTTCACTCCCCAAACTGCAATGTGCTAGTTTTTGCTTGATGCTTTACATAGTGGCTACCACAGAGACTTTCTGAAGGCTGTTCTGATATGTGGAGGTGATTACAAACATGCTCTTTTGCCATCATGCTGAAGAACCTTCACGTTGTCCCTTTGTTATGTACTGTAACAGTGTACCTCTACGTTGTTAGAGGGTCAAACGCCTGACCTGTTAGTAAAAAGAGTAACATTGACAAATGAGACACTTTTGACTGTAATTTTGCTTGAGAGTTGAACACCTTCCACTGCCAATATTGTTTTAAGTTCCGTTTACTAAAGATAAGCCATTATTTATTCTTTTATTTGTCTAATGCTTGGTTTTTCAACTGATTAAACTCTCTGTATTTCAAGGCTACCCTGACCAGAATGAATACAAATCTTTCTAATCAATCGTGTGTTAAAGGTCATAATGAATTGGTTTTGTCCTTTGGCAACAGGCATGTAATTAGCACTTTCAACATTTTCTCAGCAACATCTCAGTAGAGAAAATCAAGGAAAGGGAATTTAACTTACTCCTCTCATGTTTATTACTTGAAATTAGACTTACATGTTTTTAAGCTTTTGTGTAGTTTGCATATGCATAAAATTGAATGGATATTGCTTTTAACCTTTCAACATTGACATTTCTAATGCATGAGGAGTGCAAATCAAGGACGTGCACTTCACAGCGTTTCAGGTATGGGTAAATATGAAAGCTAATCAATCCTGTTATTTCTAACAGTGAAAATAAAAATCTACGAGGAAATACATTTTCCCTTATGTAGTCAATCAGATTATTATAAAAATATAATAAAAGCAAATGTCATATTTTGATATTTTGAGCTGGACATAATAGAAACATGTAAGAAACTAAAATAATACTGTATAGAACATATTACCATGGCCATGGATATAATCAGGTGGGGTTTTTTGTTTTCCAATGTTAAACTTATAGTTGTTGAACAAGATGTGCTGATTGAAATGAAATTTGTAACGTACTTTGGCAAACTGTGATTGTTAATGCATTTAAATAGATTTGTTTACTGGGACATCAGCCTCATTTTGCAATATTTGTATTAGAAATAGTTTTATATTTGCTCTGTCTACACTATTGATGCTGCATAGTAAGTGAATTGAGTCTCAGTACACAGGAAAAATGTGTTTTGCTGTTTTACTAAGCTAATCAGTTTTATAAAGTGCATTTAAAAGCTCTCTAAATGGCATACAAAGGTATGGGAAAAACATTAAGTATAGAAATTGATTTAGTTTCCTTTTGGTTTACGGGAGAAAATTAGACTAACAGAGAAAAGTAAGAAGATAATGATGGACTGGAGGAAACAGATTCAAGCAGAGTGTCATGAAATTAATTTTTGCCAAAACAAACAGAAGCTGCAGTATAACATGCTTGCAGTATTTTCTGTTGGAATGGGTGTGTACGTAGAAAGTTTTCCCCTTGTGTTGCTGATTGATATTTTTTTTTTTTTTCAGTGTTTTGATTTCCTATTAGCTTTCTTTACAATTACATTCCTATTTCATTCTTTTTATATCTTCTTATATTGCTAACCACTCCTGGCTTGCTTTTATGTCTGTTTCGTTTCCACTATTTACTAATTCTGCTTACTGTGAACTACTTAGTTCTTATTCCTGTCTCAAAGCTTTCTTGTCCATAACCACCTCTTCCTTTGTGCCTTCAATGTCCTACCCTCTCTTTTTAACTGCCGCTCTTAACTATTCCTTAGTTTTGTTTCCCTTTCCTTCATCTTTCATTCTGCCGTGCAAAGATGGCAATGTTTTCCAGATGTTTTCTGATGAGCAGTTCTACTAAACAGACTGCTGATGAGCAGCTCTGTATGTTATGGTAAATTCTAGCTGTGTCCCTCCTCAGGCAGAGGTGTTAATTAATTTTTTTCTAATCTTAATTAACAAAAATGAATGCCAGGCCTTGTAGTCTAGTCATTAACCATTAAAAAAAATGTTTTATGATAACATCGCTTCTTTCTCCAGGTCACCTAGTGACTCTTCTCAGGTCAAGTATCTGTCATGTGAGAGTGGCCATGTGCTAAGCTAAGCAGTCTCAGGGGCAACAGTATTTGCTGGAAACTTGCAGTGGGGACATGGTCTCGGTCAGAGAGGGCACTGCTAAACAGTAGTCTTGCACACCATTTCAGACTTGCGTGAGAACTGTTGTTGCCATATGTGAGTTTTCCAGGCCGCACTGAGGTTACAGGGGGACATCTGTGTGCCTTCACTTCTATGTCCATTCCATATTTAACCAGAGATGGACATGCAGAGGTGCTGAGCACAACAGGAAGTTTCTCTTTAAACAGAAAGAACCTAGAACTGTAGAGTCATAACTTGCCCTAGAAATGATAAAAGTAAGGAAGACTCAGGATGCTTTTGGAGCAAATAATATATGCTCTGAAATAGCACTTCTGGAGGGATGAGACGCCACCCAAAGGGACCTTGACAGGCTCGAGAGGTGGGCCT